AAAGGAAAAAGAAGAAAAATGGAGTTCAGGAGCTTTCACTTAAGAATCGCATGCCATGCATCTAATAACATTGGGTGGACAGTTTTGGCATCTGTGCAGTGGATTTTCATTATAGTGTGGTGTGAGGAGTCAGTTGGGACTGGCTTGTTAATGGAAGTTTTATCATTTGTTTTTGCCACTTCTATTTGGCTTCTAATATATGTATGTATATATGTATATATGTGTGTATATATATATATATATATATATATATATATATGCATGTGTGCATGTTTAAATCCTTTGGAATAGGCTCTCAGAAAATGTTAGTGCATTTTCAAACAATAAAACAATATAGGGTAAGAGGAGGCAGAAGGCTTTGTGTGGACTTTAAAACCAGACAGGCTTATGTTTGATTTCACTTTGATCCCATGGAAGCTCTGTTACCCTCTCTAATCCTCTCTTGTGAGTATTGATATTCACAATATCAAGCTGAAGAGTGTAAAGCATGTAAAAGATAAGGAGAGATCCTAATATATAGTGAGAATTCAATGTAAGTTGGCTGTTTTGTTTTGTGGCAGGGTCACGGTTTAAAGCCCAGGATGCTCTCAAATTCACCATCATTCTGCCTCTGCCTCCCAAGTGCTAAGATTACAGGCATGCTCTGTAATACTCACTCTATTTTTAATGCTACTCTGTCTCATATATTAAGTATGTTTTATGAATTGGGTACAAAGATCCTGTTATTTCTGTAAGCTCCAACATTTCTTCTTGTTGTTATTGTTAATCTGTATGGGAGAAGGACATATACCTTCAAATATAATTAGTACTTGTTAGATTCCTGGTTAATTTATCACCAGTAGTTAGATCGAAATATTGACTCATTATGCATAGATGTGATTATGCATGTTTATATGTGTCTATGTCTGTGTATCTATATGTGCATATAGGTCATATGTGCATAGCATAGATTGATTATTATTTAATGGATGAACTTGTATCTCAGAGTTAGATGATAGACATAGATGAGGTGTGCCAAGCTTTTAGGGAAATGAAATGAGGAAGTGATGGGGTGAGGCTGAGGAAGGAAGTTTCTACTGCAATGCTGCATTAAACTATTCAATAGAACTTAGGCAAGGATTTGAAAGAAGGAAGTCATTGCTGTGAGAGGTAGCATTAGGAGAACTGCATACTGTTGGACTGCTCGCAGACTGGAATCTAGCATGGAGAACATGGGGTTTAGGAAATACTGGGAAGAAACCAAACAAGTCTAAAAGATAAATGGGCACAAGACTATGCCCTAGTAAGCCCTGGTGAGGATTTGTCTTTTATCCTGCAGGTGACAGAGTATCCCTGATGTTCCCTTTTCAGGTAGAGGGTGACAAGATCAGTCGTGCCCATTAACAGCAAGATTGTGCTGCTTGTGCAGAGCATGCGGTGGAGAGGACCCAAGGGAGGGTAGGGAACCAACCAATAAGGCTCCAGCCCAAATTGAAGGCCTGTAGCCTGGATTAAGTAAGCAGCTCTATACCAAAGTCCTACTTGAAGGCAGACAGAACAGTATCACAAACTTGCTTCTGTTGGTAAAAAACTAGTATGACCTACCTACCCTCATTCTCCAGTAGGAACACCTCACCATGAAGCAAGTGAGATCCTTTTGAAAGCTACATTAAGTCTCAGGCCATTGGGGTGCTGTTAAACTCCTACTCCAGCACACTAAATGGAATGGAATCTCAGCCTGCAGTCAGCCAGTAAATGAGTATAACTTATGTTGAATTCCAGCTAATGTACAGTCTTAGAAGTAGGATTCAGTCTGGAAAGTCACTTGGGTACCATTTGAATCACTGAACTGTGATTTACTTGGTCACACCCTACTAGCCTGCATATGCCAATGGGCTTTTCTATTTTCTTCCAGGGAATAACTTACAGAATGAAAACATCCATAAAAAAAAGACACATCTTCTCTATCTTATTCATTTTCTTGAGGGAGAGGGATTATTGAGATCCATATTTATTGCTCAAAAATGTGTTACTTAAATAAAAGTAGCAAATCATAACCTAAAAATGTGTGAGTTAAATGAAAGTAAAGATTTGTAGTCCAGACCGATTTTTCCCCCAGTAAATATATATGAACTAAAGAAAGAAAAAGAAAACAGAAGCACATACTTGAATTCTTGCTATTTATAGGTTATCTTTATATATAATGTCACTATTAATTATTTGTTCTCTGATACACAAAGACATAAGGATTGAGACATAAGGACCTCATGGCATGAGGTCCAGTGTTTTAAAAACAAAATCAGTCTACTATCATATTGATATGTCCTGTGAGGACCAGCTAATGTCTTAGTGAGCCTTTTATTCCCATGTAGTCATCACTATGAGCTTGTTATTTCATATATGATTAATAGATATGTGATTGTCACATGCAAATGAGTGTTGATACAGGAAGCCTATCTATGGAGGCTCTGATGTTTGTAGGGAAGAATTAGCACTGAGAGCTCTTTTTATCCTCTGAGATAGGTGTTCTGGGAACTTTGATCAATAGCTTTTCCTGAAACGGGTAAATAAGGAAACCTCGATATGAATTTGTATGATAACTAAATTCGAAATGATCTGAGGAAATATTCCCTTCTCTATAGAAATAACCAATTCTTGGGTCAGGCTGACCAAGTATATAGATGCTTGATATGTAATTAGGAAAAGAATGTCAAAAATGCAAAGAGATTAAGTCATATTTATGTAATTTGAGCAAGTAAAAAAGAGGGAAAGAGTAATAAATGCTGTAGAGAAAGAAAGACTTCAGAGCACCTAGCATCTGTGTAATAAGGAGCTAATTGTGCTTTGTAAAACTTTAACTCATTCTGTGCTTTTAGAACCCTATAAAGGAGGGATTTTTTTCAGACAGATAGAAAATTGTGTCTTAGAGTGGTTAATGAGTTGTCCAAAGTCTAAACAGCTCATACCTGATGAATCAAAACCTCTCTCCTGTGTTTTCTGAGCAGTAAACCAGTATTTAAATGTTCAGCAGTAGATAATTGGCATAAAGTACCATGTTTTATGCCCAAACATATAGGTGAGCAAGAGATTTACACTAAAGACTCTCTTTAATCTACCAAAGCATTTCTTGCCTAATTCACTTGAGATACATTTTATTTATTTATTTACTTTTTTATTTATTTTTGTCAGTTGTAGGGCTTGAACTCTGGGCCAGGACACTATCCCTCAGCTCTTTAGCTCAAGGCAAGTGCTCTTCTACTTGAGTCACAGCACCACTTCCAATTTTTCATTTTTTAAAGAATAGATTCTATTTATTTATTTATATATTTATTTATTTGTTGTGGAGCTTGAACTCTGGGCCTGAGCGCTGTCCCTCAGCTCTTCAGTTCAAGGCTAGTGCTCTACCACTTGAGCTACAGCGCCACTTCCAATGGCTTTTATTTATGATCACAGAATCAATATAAGTTTTGAGAAGAAAATTTAGATGTGGACATTGACTACCAAATATGTGACCATGGATCGAATTCTTCAGAGAGAACATAAATTTTTATGTTCTTAAAAGATTTTGTTATGCTTTAAGAAGATTTTAAAGTGAGATTGTCAAAAATACTTTCTTGTTCAAGTTTTTACTTTCACAAAATTTTGCGATTCCCTTTTTCTGATTCCATTTTTCTGAGTAGCACTCATTAAGCAGTTGGAGCGATTTTCTGGGTTTGTTGTTAGTAACAATGCTGAAAACATCTTTGTTATCTGTGACTTTTTCCCCTAAATTTCTGGCAGTAACATATTTGGGTATAAATTTTGAATAAATTTATAATTGGTATGAAAATTTTCTCAGTGATTAACTACATAGCCCAACAGGAAGGTAATTCCTGTTTATAAACCACTTTATGGTATATGAATGCCTTTTATTCACCACATAATTGCTGATCCCTGTGCAGAAATCTTTGCCAATAAGACTATCAAGAATAGGATAATTTTAACATAGCTTACTAGTAAAATAGTAAGAAATTCAAGGGAGGAGATTAAGCTTTGTTCTTAGTTATATGCTATATTGTGCCTTTTGATAGTTGTTGAACAATATGGACATTCACCAGTACAACACCACCTTGACAATGCACAAGAGAGAAAACACTAAGCCTGGCCCTCTTTAATCCTTACTGAATCCAATTCTTCTATTGGTCTTCTACAAGTGGAAATGATGAGCTTTCTCATAAATAATAGTATCTCAAAGCACTTTAAGTTCTTGGAAATAGCATCACAGTTTTTGAGCTACCAAAAATTTTAAAGATGGCCAGGCACCGGTGTTTCATACCTGTAAAGACTAGCTTCTCAGGAGGCTGAGATCTGAGGATCACAGTTCAAAGCCAGCCCAGGCAGGAAAGTCTATGAGACTCCTATCTCCAATTAACCACCAGAGTGGTCTGTTACCCAAAGTAGTAGAGAGTTACTCTTGAGCAAATAAAGCTCAGGGATAATGCCCAGGCCCTGAGTTCAAGCCCCAAAACTGAAACAACAACAACAACTAAACATCAATCCATTAATAAATGGATTAATAATCAGAGCATGCATCTTTAATAGGAAGACTTGAAAGATCTTAGTGTCTTACACTAAGTATATCCTCAATAGAGTATATCCTCAAGTCGTAGAGCACCAGCCATGAGGGAAAACATTGAGTGAAAACACAAGGTCCTGAGTTCCAACCTCAGTTACAAAACAAAAAACAAAATAAAATAAAATAAAAATAGTATTGTGAAAGATACTTTCATACAAATGTATAATTCTATTCTTGGTTGATGTGACTTAGGTGTTCAGAAATTTGAACTTTTTATTTCTTCATCTTTCATAATACAGTGAAATTATAATAGTCAACCATTGTAAGAAAACAAAATTTTATTCACAGCAGTGGATTCCAGTGTTGAAGATAAATCAAATTCCAATTCTGCCTTAAGTGATATTTTTCTTCAGTCATATTTTTACGCATAGCTTAGTAAGTTTTATTTCTTTTCATTTTGTTTTAGGTAGTAGCTTTACAACATCGTCAGGATTATACACAGGAAATAATTCACTCACAAATTCCTCCGGATTTAACAGTTCTCAGCAGGTAATTTAAAGAGCCAATTTAACTTCTGAAATACGTTTAAGTACAACATGATATTATTATATTTTAAAAAAGCACTTTCTGTTAAAGTGTGAGAACTTTCCTCAGCTTTTTAATAGTTTTTTTTTCTTTAAACAGTTTCTTTAACAGTCTTTTTATGAGTTATTTGGTTTTCAGATTGATTTACTTTTACTGTACTGAATCATGGAAGAGAAGATATTTGAAGAATGTGTATAATCTTATGTAGTTTGTTTGCAAGTGTGTGAGCTCATCAATGAATATGAACTCATCTAGATGAATTTAGAAAACACACATAAACACAAACATACTTATAATTGTTAAAAACTTGAGAAATCATGGTTCCTGACAGATTATTCCTCTGCTTTCATTTAATAGGACTATCCAGCTTATTCTAGTTTTGCCCAGGGTCAGTATGCACAGTATTATAACAGCTCACCATACCCAGCTCATTACATGACAAGCAGTAACACCAGCCCAACCACACCATCCACCAATGCCACCTACCAACTCCAAGAACCACCATCTGGCATCACGAGTCAAGCAGTTACGGACCCCACAGCAGGTAATTCTGTTTATTCATCCTGAAGGCTGCATCTTTAAATGGTGTTTTCTTATTGTTGAATTTTAAGAATGCTTTGTACATCTGGGAGTCCCAAGTTCTTTGTCACTTATGTACTTACAGGTACTTTTTCACTGTCTATGGCTTATCTTCCACTTAACAGTATTTTTCACAGAAAACTTTTTGATTTTAATTAAGTCCCTAGTCAATCCCCCCCCCCCATCAGTCACACTTTTGATATTGTATCTAAAAAATTATTAGGAAACCCATAGCCATCAGTTTCTAATCTGTTTTGAATTGTTTCTTATGCAAGATTTAAGACTAGGGTATAGTTTTTGCTTGTTTTGTTTTTGGTGTGTGGATCAAGTGGTTCTAACCATCTCTTATGGAAATTACTGTGTTTTCTCCTCTATTTAATTTTGTCCCTTGTCAAAAATCAGTTGACTGTCTATGTGCATCTATTTTAATCCAATGATCTATTTATTCTTTGCCAATATCACATTGTCTTGGTTGCTATAACTCAATAGTAAGTCTTAAGGACAGTACATCATGTTACTTTGTTCTACAACATTGTGTTTGCTATTCAACATCTTTGTCTCTTTAAACTTCAGAATCAGTTTGTCAATATATACAAGCAAACTTTTGGTATTCCAGTGAAATTAAGAATAAGTTAAGATAAATTAAAATCTTGATAATATCAAACCTTCCTATCCATAGACATGAAATAGCTTTTTATTTAGTTCTTAGATTTCTTTTATTACGATTTTATACTTTTCCTTATAGATGTTGCATAACATTGTTAGATTTATAGCTTCTCCCTCTCTGCATCTTTAAATAAATACTTGCATATAAGTAAGCAATAGGCTTATATCTGGTACTTTGCTTCCTGAAACATTGTTATTTCTTAGTTCTAGGAGATGTTTCATTTTAATTCTTGATTTATCTGTTTTACATTTTCAATATAGACATTTGTCATTTATGAACAAAAGACATATTTATTTCTTCCTTCACAATCTATTCATCTGTTGTTATTTTTTCTTCTTAAATTAACTAGGCCTTCCTAAACAATGGAATGTACATGAAGCGTTTGATCTTTGTTCCTGATCCTAGGAAGAAAGCAGCTCGTTTTTTCACTATGAAGTTTTGATTAGCTGTAGGTTTCATTAGATGTCCTTTATCAACTTGAGGAATTTCCTATAAATTTCAAAATTTGACAGAATTTTTTTTTGTGAATGATGGTTAGATTTTGTCTAATGCTTTTTCCCTACTTATTAATACAATCATGACTTTTCATCTTCAGCCTAGTTGTATGTTGGATTGCATTTATTTAATTGTCAAATATGAACCAACCTTGTATTGTCTGGAATAAATCCTATTTAGTAATGGTAGATAATTATTTTTTAAAATATTGTATTATCATTATGTAGTTGTACACAGGGGCTACCATTTGACAAATTTCCATAAGTAGAAAGCATCTTGATCAATATCACTCCTTTCACAATTCTCCCCCATTCCTCCCAACCCAAGTGCACATCTTAATTTTCCTAGTTTTATAGGATATGCTGTGAATATTATGACTGCATTCTTTTTATGTATAATTCTTTCATTGATTCTTCAATTCTGTTTGCTGACATTTTGTTAAGTATCTCCCATCTACATTCATGACAGATCCTTGTCTGTAGGTTTTGTGTCTAGCAATATCCTTGTCTAGCTTTGGTAGTAAGGTAATGTTGGCTTCTGACTAAATTATGGAATATTCCCTCTGCTTCTGTTTTCTAGAGAAGGTTATGGAAAATTCAAATAATTTGCTCATTAAATGTTGGATAGCATTTACCAGTGAACACATCTGGATCTAGTCTGTTCTGTTGGGGAAATTTACTAATTATTGATTCAGTTTCTTCATTAGATATGGTTGTATTCAACCTAATCTGTTTTTCTTTGAATGAGTTGTGTTAGACTGTGTCTTTCAAGGAATTTGTTCATTGCAACTGCTTTATCCAATTTGTAGGCATAGATATGTTCAGAAAATTCTTTTGTTTCATTTTTAAATTTTGAGACAGGTTCTAAACAAGTAGTCCAGGCTGGCCCCAAACTTATGATCATTTTGCTTCAACTTCTAGAGCACTTGGACCAACAGATATATGCTACATGCTATATCATAATTTTATTATCCTTTAAGTGTTTATGGAATCCCTTGTAAGAGCCTTCATTTATTTATGATACTAACCATTTGTATATTTTTCTTATTTAAAAAATCTTGATTGGCTTGAGTAGAAGCTAAATTGTTAACTATACTTTATTAAAGACAATTTTACTGATTTTGTTCCTTATTGTGAAAAACTGTTATTGGCTTCTCTTAGTCTCCTTACTTCTTTGCTTGCTTTTGACTTAATCACTTTGACTTGTCTAATTTGTTAATATTGAAGATTGAGTGATTGATTTCAGATCTCCTTTTCCCCTGTATACAATTCAATCCTGTAAATTTCCTTCAAAGCACTGTTTTTGTTGTATTTCACAAAATTTCTTGGTTTTTTTTTAATGTATTTGAAAGTATTTTTAACGTAAGTTTTATTAGTATTGGAACCCTTCCTTTGACTTAGGAATGTATTCATTGAATTTATAGAAGTCTTAGCATTAGTTACAATCACCCCATTACTAACACTCACATCTTATCTGCTAAATGGCTTTCTGAGATGAGAGAATGTGTTTGGCTTCTGAAAAGTAGGTTATTCATGGTAAACTAAGTGGAAATTTTGTCTCAGAATCAAAATTTGTTCATTGCTCAATCTCAGACTGGAAGACAGCACCACAATTAAATCTACGGTTGCCTTCAATTTAAATACTTGTTCACTTCATTTTAAATTTTATAACAATTCTTTAGTTAGGTCATTGATTTTATTCAGAGTTTGAAAATATAGATATAGAGAAAAAAGTTTTAGGGTCTTTTCATTTTATGCGAATACCTAAACAATCATTTCATCTCTTAACCCTGAAGTAGAGATCTCCAAACATTAGATATATTAATAATAGCATCATAAAAAAGTGTTTTCAAAACAGAAGTGATTTAATATTTCAACAACTTGAGAATATTATCAGAAAGGATTTTTTTCTGAAAAGATCACTAAAAACAACCATTCTGTAAAAGTACCATTTATCCTATCATTCATATATGTCTGATCAAAACCTATGTTCGAAAATTCATTTCTAATTCTATTACTATGTGTGTTAAAATAATTTGGCTTGAAAATTTCGTGTCCAAAATCTCTTAGAATGTTTCATTGTAATTAGATTGTAATAATATATAGTAAATTAGGAGCAATTGCAATTGCTGGTCTTCCAGCCTTATTTGCATTATTACATTCAATCTTAGTGTATTCTTGAGATAGGTACTCTTGTCTGCATTTTATAAATTTGCCTATTTTTTTTGCTCAAAACTCAGGGTACTATACTCAGTCAGTTTTAATATATTAGATTCCAAAGACACATAGCCTTATAATGTTCAATAAACATTAAGTAATAAGAATTTTCAGACTGAGCTCATATGAAAGGATTCTATTTATAACACTTAAAGAAATGTTACAAAGCAAGTCAGAAGAAAAGGGAATAAATGGTAAATATAAAATTTATAAAATTTAAATATAAATAAAAAATTTCATGTTTATGCAAAAATAAAAGCCAATTGTTTATTAAGAATGAGTTTTATTATGAATGCTATAGAAAAGTCAATTTTTTCAAGAAGTTTGCTCATTGAATTTCTTACCCAAAAGGTGGTTGAAATCCACCTTTGCACTAGCTGACCACAGGAAGACAATTTAGTGGCTAAGGTGATGTACAGGAATCATGCCAATATTAAATTTCAAGTGACAGAGGAAAAATCAGTGTAAGAGGGAATTCAATATGCATGGGAAACCATTTGTTCCCTCTGTGCTTTGATCCCTGCCAAGGCACAAGAAAGTAGAGCAAAAGACTTGAAAAACGGGAATGTTCTTGTGTAAAGTTGCTGGACTCTGAGCTCTCACAGGAACTCAGTGTGACAGGATGAAAGACTAGACTGCCAGACATCTTTCCTGTAAAAGCAGGAAAATTGAGCCTCATCTATAGTACCTGCCATACCTGCGCATGCTCACTATGGAAATGATTGGCAGGTTTGCAATGGCATACAAGCCCTATATGTTCATGTAATAGCATGCATAAGGCTGCTACATGTGGCTTTGGAAAATCTGCTGGCCATACTTGCTCTTTTACACAGATGCTTGTGGACTTCGGAAAAGTTTGCAATTTGTTCAGCTCAAGAATAAACCATTTTCAGCAAAGCAATTTTAACTAACTTTTTTGGGGGAAACATTTGTCAGCAAAACAAATATTTGTATCTAAAATATCCAGGCTATTAAGATGTGAGAAAACAAAACAGATGTTTGTTTTGGGTTGTTGAATTTGTTTTGTCTTGATGGTAGTTATTTTTTTCTTTCTTTTTTCCCCCAAAGGACATACAGTGTTAGCCATAATGAGATTATAAGAGGCATGGAAATACAGTTTACTCTTCATTTTTATAATTGTCAGAAATGTCATAAAAGTAAAGTTTATTGCCTGTGAACTTTTCACTTTGTTTCTAAAAAGTGAAAATTCAGTCTTTTAACATTTCTCCCTTTCAGGACTCATTCTTGGTGAGCCTAATTTTTTGATTAGTTGGCCAGCTGTCAATATTAGTACATTGGATTCTAGGATACTGTCCTTTCTTACGTTTATACTTAACAGATAATTTGTATATAAATAATCAAAATAAGAAACCATATGTTATTGAGCTAATTAAATTAGCTTATTAACTCTCCCAAGCACTGACTATTCTGTACTCTTTCATAAAGAATTGTTTTCTTATTTTAAATGTTGTAAAATATTATCCTATGGGATGAATCAGTTGAGTTTTTTGGTTTAAGTTGGAAGACAATAGCATTTACCAATTTGTTGTTGTTTTTTAAAATAGAAGTAGTTGAGGAAACACAGTT